CCGAAGGACAGCTCACAACAATAAAAAACAGAGAATACAAAAGTTAAAAGACAAATTAAAACAGATTAAAGCCTTCTTCACCACCCTACAAGAAAAACTGTGCTACTGTTAAGAGCAGGAATCCACAATAATTTCAAGCCATGGCCATTATTCTGCAATTCTAACGTTGCAAGCGCCCATTTCTTAAAAAATTATAAGCTGCTCAGTGTCATTGGGCGTCAAGCAGTCTATAAATTGCATGCATAAATATTCAAGCAAGCAAGCAATTAAACATGTCACCAGTCTCCTAAGATCTCATTTGTTATGTTGGAAGAAATATCCATGTGGTTCAGTTCCAAGCTGAGAGGAAGACGCTGGAAACATGGAGGCTGATTAGAAAGATGGTTTAATGATGAAGCAGAACCACCAAGCACATGGTTCTCTGGTGCAGCTGAACACACGGAGTTGAGAGTGGGAGGGTTTTATATCTTCACTTGGGCTTTGAATTTGAAATTCTTGTTCCTGTGTAAGAACATGTATTTTATTGGCTGGTGTCAGATTCCTATGGAGTCAAGTTTGTCTGAGCTCCCAGGTTTGGTTGAAGTTTGCTGAGTGATGCAATGTCCTTAGGAGATTGTGCAATGCAGTGAGCTCTGTGTCTTCTGCTAAATGGTCCTATTATGTCCTGAAGGGCTATGTCTTAATCCCATCACCCTGGAGCTGAAGGTCTTTTGTCTTGTAGATGGGCTGGCCCAGTCCTGCTGGAGCTATTAAGAAAGGTAGGGGCTGCTTTCCAAGAGCATGTTTCTCCGTTAGGGAAATATAATATTCTGGTTTTTTTAATATTTCTCAAAATATTTCATTCTTCTAGGAAGAGATTTCAATCATTATTCCAATTAGCTTTAACAAGACATAGGGAATTAGAATAACCTTGGTCCAAAACTGCATTAAGGAAGGTTGACCTTATCCATTGCCAGCCTGCATGGGGGCTATGATTCCCATTCTCCTGCTTGGCCTGGGCTTTTCTGAAGCTTCCCCAACTCCAAGCACTTGTAATGATTTGTTACCTTTCCGTTTACAGGAACCGAGCAACAGTTAGTGGGTGGTGCTGTCCTTCCTCCTCCTGCAGCATCTCCCCAAGTGGTTAGGCCAAAGGATAAAGCATGTTTCAACAGATTGCAGCAAGAACCACCAGCAACGGAACACTCCGTTTCCAGACTGAGGCATGTAAAAGTACAAACTGTTTTGCAGTCCTCTCCTGAGTGTACCAAGGCAGAATCACAGAGCAGCTGCTTGATAGACAAAGGGACTCAAACCAAGAAACCAAGTAAAAGCGGTCAGTTGAAGCACAGGACCCACCAATCAGGGGAAGCTCCATCTGGGCAGCCTCCACCTTCTGCCACTGAAGGAAAGGAGGGCAGTCCTCAGCTGGCAGGCACAACTCAAGCTTTGGAAATTACCCAGTACTTCTTTGAGGCTGTGTCAAGTCAGATGGAAAAGTGGTATGAGAGAAAGATAGAAGAAGCTCGTTGCCAAGCTGACCAGAAAGCTCAGGAAGATAAAGAGGTCCTTAAAGAATACATTAAAAGTTTAGAAGAGGAACTGCAGAAGCTAAGGACTAAAGTGCAGAAGGAAAACTAGACCTTGCATGGCTCAAAAAAAGGACACAAACTCCACCGAAACAATTTTAGGGCAGGGGACACTTATGAACTATTTCATTCATATTGAACATATGCCTTTAAAGATGATAAAGTATCCATGAAATTATTCGAGGAAACCAGTTTTCCTAAGCCAACACTTTGTTGATGGACAAAATGTTGTTTTAGCTCTAAATAGTGCTAGTTGTCATACTAATTCTGGCTAGAATGTGTTTGTTACCTATCAGTGCCCCTCAGATACACTGCTGGGAGTGAGTGATTGAATGTCTATTCTTGTTTTTCAGTCCCTGTGCCGTTTTGTGAATTCTTTAAAGTTTTATTATTTTATAATAAACTGTTTTATTATATTAAATATTTTTTAAGTTCAAACATTTTATAGTATTGAGTATGGTATTTTTATTTAGTGTGAGCTTGTTATCTAAACACTGGGTATGTTTTTGGGCACTGGTTATCTGAACACTGCATGTGTACGATGGAAACAGTGCAGTGGTGAAATCTAAAATTTGTTACTACCGGTTCTGTGGGCGTGGCTTAGTGGGGGGGGAGGGTAATGTGACTGGGTGGTGTGTGGCCAATTTTGTTTTTTTAATTTTAAAACCATTTTTTCGACGAGGTTGTAAAAAAATGCTTTCAAAAGGCTCTGACGATCCAAGCTGAGTTGCCTGATCGTCAGAGGCATTTAAAAGAAAAAATGCCTCTGCTGATCAGGCAACTCAGCTTGGAACATCAGAGCCTTTGAAAGCATTTTTTCTACAACCTCTGAAGAGGTTGTAGAAAAAATGCTTTGAAAAGCCTTTGACGATCCCAGCTAAGCCGCACGATCATCAGAGGCTTTTTTTTTTACTTTTAAAAACATTTTTTTGGCCGAAGAGGTTGTAGAAAAAATGCTTTTAAAAGTAAAAAAAAGCCTCTGATTATCACGCGGCTCAGCTGGGCATGGGGAGGGGGCAGGGATTTTTGTTACTGATTCTCCGAACCACCCGCCTCCATCGCTACAAGATCAGGCGATCCAGTCCAAACCGGGAGCATTTCACCCCTGGAACAGCGCAAGAGTGGTACAAGTAATAACCCTGTGAAGGTTGTATTGAGAGCAATTGGTTTAAAACCTTCCACTAAGCTTCCATGGCTGATGGTGGACTAGAACCTAGGTCTCCTTACTTCTTACCCAATATCTTAACCATAATTGAGTTGAATTTTGAAAATTGCAAAGTGGCCAACATCAGAAAGACTACTATTTTCTTTTATACTGTATAGGAGTTTGTGAATCGCAAGTATTCCCAGCCCTAACAACTTTATATATGGGCATTTGTTCCAGTCTCTGGAGATCATGATGACCAGACTGTTCAGTTGCATTGTGGACTAGGGAGACTTGCTGTAGTCATCTGGAAGGTGTAGCAAGGGATTGAAAATAAGATTTACACTCATCTTCCCATAGTAAAAAGCTGACTGATGTGCAGCCAAGAAATGGTAATATAGTTGAATACAGGTAATCCTCGATTTATGACCACAACTGGGACAATTTCTGTTGCTAAGTGAGTTGCTGTTAATTGAATTGTGTCCAATTTTACAATCTTTTTTGCCATGGTTGTTAAGTGAATCGTGCAATTGTTAAGTGAATCCAGCTTCCCCCGCTGACTTTGTATGTTGGAAGCTGGCACGGTTAAATTGCAAATGATGATCACCTGACCCCAGGATGCTACAACTGTCCTACATACTGTATATGCCAGTTGATTGCAGAGATGCAACCATCATACTTTACTGTCACTTGCTCCTATGTTTCTTGTGTTGCTTACATTAATCTACAATTCTGTGTTAATATCTATTAGCTCTTATTTAAGTTGTATTATGAATATATACCTTACATTGATCAGCATGGGTAACAGATAGAGTGCTACGAGCTAGATTCTTTCCATAGGAGCTCAAGATTCTGGAAGATTCAAGTGTACTACACACACCCACTACCAGCCACCTTTTGTTTGTTTGATTTTTATCCCACCTTTATTATTTTATAACTCAAAGTGGTGAACATGCATACTACTACTTCCTCCTCCTATTTTCCCTACAATAATCCTTTGTGGTGGGTTGGGCTGAGAGAGACTCAGAGGTGGTATTCAGCAGATTCTGGAGAACCGGTGGCAGAAATTTTGAGTAGTTTGGAGAACCAGTATATACCACCTCTGATTGGCCCCGTCCCCATCTATTCTCTGCCTCCGGAGTCCCAGCTGATCGGGAGGAAATGAGGATTTTGCAGTAACCTTCCCCTGGAGTGGGGTGGGAATGGAGATTTTACAGTATCCTTCCTCTGCCAAATCTACCAAGCCACGCCCATATAACCGGTAGTAAAATTTTTTGAATCCCACCAGTGGACAGACTGATTGACTCAAAGTCACCCAGTCAATTTTCCTGCCTAAGGTGGGATGAGAACTCATGGTCTCCTGATTTCTAGGCCAGCACCTTCCCCACTACACCAAACTGGCTCCTTTATGACCTTTTATGCTTCCTGAAACAAATAATTGCTAAGTGAAATATGAACCTCAGAATTTTATGCCAGTAGAACTGTTTATAATAATCCTGGAACAAAAAGGCTGTTAAAGAATTAAAGTATTTTAATTCTTCTTATTTGTAAAATATTCTGGATTAGGAAGAATTACTAATATTAAATTGTGACACAAAATAATTTCATTCCTTTAAGTTATTTCAATACATTTTGATTCAGGAATTAGAAAGCATATGATCATAATAGAAGATAACCAGTCCTGATTCCAATGCCAAGACTTGAATCTGGAAGTAAAAACAAAAGTCTCCAAGCCCTCAAGGATGCAGAGACCTGTCTAATTTGTCAAAAATGTACTGTAGTCACCTCTCAGGGAAGAGTAATGAATGGAGATGATGCTTTGTGGTATTGAAATGTAATAAAGGCTGCAGAACCTCAGCTGCACCAGAATAAAGAATATTCACAAGTGATATATTTAAGGCAACTCAAAAGGCTTAGCCTTGTTGCAATAATTTTGCTAATATCACTGTCAAAACCCTCCTGTCTTTTTATGATTCCTTTACCACTGGACTGGATTATGGCCTGCACTATACTTGTGAGGCTAAATTGCATATTGTACTGTAACCCTGAGTGTTGCTTTGTAATTCTACAACACTGCCCTACTGCTTCTAAACTGTAACACTAATGAAAGTTTTACAGCTCAGCTAATCAGTAATTCCCTAACAGAATCTTGCCATACTGTAAAAAAAATCATATATATTGCTTAATAGCAAGCATACTGGTTCAGACTAAACATCTGCAGCTAGACAGTACACATATAGGTATTTTTAAGGATTTGGAGAATATAGAGCAAAGATTTTAAAAAAGAGTAACAAAACTGGATCTCTTTATTTTTCTCTTTACAAATAAACTTGCCTAAACAAATTCTAAAGAGCCAGAGATATATAACAGCAACATTGGATCCACTCTATACTTGTTCACCCAAGTACATGAACTACTTCCATAGGCATAGTTCTAGAAAGAGATAAAATGTACTGGCTAACTATTTTGCTAAAACCTATGGTTGCAAATAAACTTATATATAATAAACACTGGTCAACTCATGTCAATGTAAGAAAACATTCCATTCTCCTTCAACTTAGTTTGTTTTTAGAAGAAAAAGAATACAACACCGAAGCCAGAAAGTACCAGAAGTCCATAGAACCCTCTTCAAATTGACTGAAGCCACTCTGAACTACCTTTATTACCTTGGAGATGAAATTCAACGATTCAGTTCAAAGGCATATTTATATCTCATTAAATCATCCCTTCAAAGCTTTGTGCAGCACTGATAAACATTCAGTTCTTTACTTTGTGGAACTCTCTAGGTAAACATAATACATGTAAAAGTAAATTGTTCCAATGAGTGATGGTATTCTTGTATTTACAAGTGTAATTCATAAATCTAAGATATCAAATTCCCTTTCTCTACTTTTGCACTTTTCACATGGATTGTCCAGATGTTGCTGTTATTGCTTGTCTTTTTATTCTTATTGCATCTTAATCTTTAGACATATGGTATTTATACCTCACAGAGTATTCAGCAGGTCTTCCATCAAACTTTTGAGAAGTATACACAAGGCATTTTTGGATTATCAGCACGGCTCCTCCCACTTAATGTCTTTGCAGTTAGCTACAAGGAAAAATTGTTTTAACTTGTAAGCAGAATTAAGCCTAGGATTTTGCCAATTTTAGTGTTCTCTCAAGCTCCTGAAGCTGTAGGTTGCCGTGAGTGATCATCATCTTAATTGTATCCTATAAAACAAAAATGTTATACTTGGTAGGCAAAGTAAATTAAACAAGTTTATTTATCAAATTTATATGAACAGCCATATCAAGAATTGACAGCATAAAGCAGAAAAAGAAAGAGTATAAAAACAAACTATCATGAAAATATGGCTTTTCTTCTTCACCAGAATAACTACTCAAATTAAGAAGCATTATTCAGCAAGGCAATGGGTTTAAATTATTCTCCTTTCCATAGACAGAATCCTAAACAAGATTTACCTTGTTCACTTCTCTTATTTGAAATTAATTCGTGGATTCAGAATTCTTAAATTCAAAGTATATACCATTTCATCAGGCTCCAACTACTGGCTCTTGGAAAGCCAGAAAAAGAATGTAAATATGAAATCACTTTTTCTTTACCATAAGTAGCTTTGGATTTTCTTTTTTAAAGGGGAATTAATATTCCAAAATACATTTGACTGACAGGCAAGCAATTGCATAGCACCCATAATGCATTTTCCAATCCCTGTCTAATGCTCTAAGCAAAGCTCTATGGGAGTCTCCCAGACTCCCAGAAGGCAGCAGGCAGAGGTACAGGCCCAGCTACCAGCTGTAATCTTCAAGTCCATCAGATTTTGAGAATTCTCTTGCCTCATCTGTAGTCTCTTTATTCCTTTTGAAATCTTCCCTCGCCCAGTCTCTCATGTAGCAACGATCTGCTTCATTGGGGATCTGACGAATGGTTCTGAGGATTTTTCTGTATAACTGAAGAACCTGCTGTCTTCTCAGGAACTGCAGAACATCAAAGGAAACAAAGAATGGACCTCTCACTTTTTGTCATAAGTCAAAGGTCTTGCCATTTGCTTTTTCTGCAAAAAACCTGGAACCCAACAATTCACTTACAATAAGCTGTACAAATTCAGAAGCAGCATAAAAGTGGCCTTGAGAATAATGGGTTTGAAAGGATACTATTATCATGAACCCGCCTGTTTCTCTCAACTATCAAATTTACATACAATTAATTACCTGCCCTCTTAAAATTAAATTCATTTAGTTAAACACGAATACTCCACATATTTTACTTCTATCCTATCTCCTATCTTAATGTTACATCGATTTATTTGTAAAATCTGTGCATCTGCCTGACCTGCCCATCTGAATGGGCCAAGGTTGTCTGGCCCATGAGAGGCCACTTCATGGAATATTTATTTAACTAGAAACTGTTGGTATTCATGAATTTCATCAGAGGGAGCTTTGAATATACAATCATTACTACCATTTTCACTTTTTTGACTGTATTCTGTGGGGTCTAGTGTGTAGGCTCAATTCAGGCCAGGCTCAATTCAGTGTGCAGGCCAAAATAGCCATAGAGAGTTATGCCCAGTGGTCACAGAGGAGGGTGCATGCTTGTACCAGCCTAAAGTGGCCAAAAGGAGCTGAGCAGACCCCCACAGCGACACATCATTATGACAATGTGAACTGTTTCCATACCATGTAGATAGAATCATGAAGTTAAAGCCCTTTGTTCCCCACCCTCCAAAAAGCTTAGCTCACAACCTCTGGATTAAAGAAGATGATCTTCATCAATTTCTATATGGTTCTTTCCTAAATCAGAGAGAAAATTTTTGAGCTATCCATTAATTGCCAATTGTTGCATCCAAAATTGCACCTGTTCCTAAAACACCATGTAAGTCCCAAATTCGTGTTCATATAAATCCTACAGAAATATGAAATACTGACAAGATCTCTATTTTATTATATCGCTAGAACTTAGTCCTGGGGGTGTGTGCTTGTGTGTTTGTGTACATACTCCAAGGTATGCAACTTATCCACATGCAGTTGACCATACCAGACCATATTTTATCTTCCAAAAATATGTTTTAATCTTGCTTTTCCAGAATTCTTTTTTCAAAAATTCTCCTTGGAAGCTTTCTCTATATGCAGTATGCAGACGCGTACTGGAATTCAGTTACTGAAGCAGCAATAGGCTCTTTTGTTAGAAAAAAAACCCCCCTCTTTTGTAGGTTACAACATACAGGTAGTCCTCAACTTACAACAGTTCATTTAGTGACCGTTTGAAGTTACAACAATGCTGGAAAAAAAAGCGACCGATGACCATTTTTCACATTTACGACCGTTGCATCATCCCCATTGTCACGTGATTTACATTCGGTTTACTTGACAACTGGGTTCCTATTTATGACGATTGCAGTGTCCCGGGGTCACGCGATCCTCCTTTCATGACCTTCTGACAAGCAAAGTCAATGGGGGAAAGCCGGATTCGCTTAACAACCCCGTTACTAACTTCACAACTGCGGTGATCCACTTAACGAAAGTGGCAAGAAAAGGCCGTAAAACGGGACAAAAAACCCCCATTTAACAAATTTCTCAACTTAAGCATCCTAAATTCTGGCCTCAGTGGTGGTCGTAAGTGGAGGACTGCCTGTAGGTACATTCCAAACGAAGCAGCCCCCTCAGATTCTGTAAGTAGAAGAAAGACCTTTTGGAAAGGAAAAAGCCGAAGCCTCAGAAGACCCGGGGCTAAACGAAACTGAGGACTTGCCTGCAATATCTGGGATGCCTAATAATGGCCCGAATTAAAATCTCCGGGCAGAAACAGGGCACTTGCCAGGAGGCTGCCACAGCGCTGCCAGGCTTCCTCCCGACTGGCGGTTTCCAGGCCTGGAGCCTCTTTCTCAACTCTCTCCGATTGCAGCGGAGCTCTTTGTACTGACAGGCTCGCCCGGTATCCTCCCTGCGCCGTCTACGAAGCGGCCAACCGCTGTTCGGGAGCGAGGCGGCCGCAAAGACCGAGAGAAGGCCGAACTGCTCCCCCCCCCCCCGGCCGCGGTCTCTTCCCTACCTGCTTCAGGCTTAAGGCCGTCGGGGGTAGCCGGGTGGCCGCCATGGCTCACGCTCGCTCCCTCCCTTCGGCCCCTTTTATGGTCTGGGGCGGGGACTCTTCGGCGCCAGAGGCAGCCGGCTGGACGGGTTAGAAAGCGGGAGCCCGCAGACTGGGGAACTTCAAAGTAACTCCCCCCCCCCGCTTCCGTCATTTTAGCAAGCCTGACTAGCAGCTCCCCGGGTGGAAGGTGAAAAGAAAGACACGTGTTTAAGGAAACGTATCGCTGGAGCACGTCGGGAGCTGCGTGCCGCGCTTTACTCCTCAAGTAGGTTGAACGGTTCAGTTAAGAACCAAAGGGAAGTGTAAAGACAACCTCCCCCCCCCAAATATTTATAGAATAACAATTGACAATCCTAACTAAATAAGAATATAAATAAGAATATAACCAGAAGTGGTGTTTGACGATATTACTCCAGTCTTGAGCAATATTCCAATTCGATTGTCTGGTTACAATCAGCCCATTGGCAATCGATAGCTGCAAAGCAGATTCTTCTTCCAGAGCGACGTGGTCGTTCTTTTATATAATCTACACAAAAAAATGCTCGAGAAAACTTAAACCGCAAAGGTGTGTGTTTTTTTTTTAAATGAAGAATCCTTTTATGAGAAGTTACTGAAACTGGTATTATTTGCTATGTAATCTTTTGAATAATTAACCTGAATGTCCTATCTTGGTAATCCAGGAAAAAATTGCTTTTAATGGCAGTATAACAAGAGTTGGGAGGGACCTTGGAGGTCTTCTAGTCGAACCCCCTGCTCAAGCAAGAAACCTATACCATTTCAGATAAATGGTTGTCCAATCTCTTAAAAACCTCCAGCGTTGGACAATGTAAACTTCTACAGGCAACTGATTTAATTGTTCTGTCAGGAAATTTCTCCTTAGTTCTAAGTTGCTTCTCTCCTTGATTAGTTTCCATCCATTGCTTCTTGTCCTGCCTTCAAGTGCTTTGGAGAATAGGCTGACCCCCCTCTTGTTTGTGGCAGCCCCTGAGTACTGCTATCATGTAAAGATCTTTTCATTAAACTAGACATATCCAATTCCTGCAGCTGTTCTTCGTATGCTTTAGCCTTCAGTCCTCTAATCATCTTTGTGTGCTTTAATTAGTTTAATTTTAAGGTAGTTTATTACAATAAAATGTGTTGTGTATGCTAGACAACACAAGAGAATGAGGTGGGCTGGCTGCAGTTGCCTTGCGGCTGAGATTCAAGAGTTGGCAGGTCATACAAGTTATGGATTTGATTTTGTATTGTCACATTTTAAACTGACATTTCCAGAATTGTTAATATAATTCAAGATCAGTCACTTTATTTTGAACATACATATATCCCCAGTGTTTGGAAACGATCATGAACTTTGTAAAACATCCAGACTAGCTCTATGAGGGACCTGGACAGTTTTTAAATGTGATGCATGAACAAACAAACAAATAAAATGACAAGAACTGTGTAGAGATGCAATAATAATTTTAAATACTTTTTGTATTGTCCTATCAAATAATTACATTAATTTGACTTTAAGATAAATCCTTATTTCTTCAAATGTGGTATCCATTACATGGACATTGATGGCTAAAATAAGGAAATTTATTTCATGGGCTTTTCGTATTGCTAAGTCTAGGCTTCAATGCTGGAAAGATAAATGTAGGGCCTCAATTACTCTGGGAATTGAAGACCTGATGTTACTTGAATTTACGAGTTATATATACAGATTATACATGATTTCACTAAAATATAATTTTATATTTAATTTAAAAGAAAATCTTTATTACAACCATATATGGTTATGCTCATAAATTTACATACTCCTTGTGGAATTTATAAGAAGTGGGCCATTTTGTAAGTAAAGTACACGAGTGATAAAAAAACTTTTTTAATTTATGTGATTCAAATTAAACTACTAGGTATCGCAAAATAAGACAATCATTAAGTAAACCGTAGCAATAAAGGAAATAAAATGATTTGGTTCAAAAGTTTCAATACCCCATATTTGGGCTTATAATACAGTCTAAATTTGTCATATACTTGTCGAGATGGCAATAAAGCTAAAGACACCTGTGTCTTCTTTGGTTGTATTTATGTCTGTGTATAAATAGTGAGTTTCTTAGCTCTTGAGAAATGGTACATTGACTTTGCTGGTTACTGAAGCATGGGGAAAGCAAAAGAATTTACAAAGGATCTGCAAGCAAAAAATATCGTAGTTCAAGTTTATAAATCCAGTAAAGGATATAAAAAGATGGTGAAAGATTTGAAAATGCCTATCAACACTGTTCAAACTCTGATCAAAAAGTGGAAAATTTAGGGTTCTGTTAATACCAAGTCATGGTCAAGAAGGATGGCATGTACAACTGCTGGGAAAATTTGTAGGGACGAAGAAAAACCCAAAAAATTTACACAGAAATACATGATTTTCTGAAATCAAGTGGGGTGGCTGTTTCAGAATACACAATAAGAAACAGTACTTGCTAACAAAACTGCATAGTAGATTTGCCCCCCACCTCAAAACTCCCCCCCCTTTTGCAATTTTTTTTGCCCCAATGCTACAAAATGTTGGAAGAAAATTTGCATTCATAATCTGGAATGGCAATAGAACTAAGACACATATATTATTCCAATGCTTTACAGCACTAAGGGCAGTTTACAAATATCAACGTATTGCTGCCAACAATCTGGGTCCTCATTTTACCAACCTCAGAAAGATGGAAGACTGAGTCAATCTTGAGCCGGTCAGGATCAAACTCCAGGCTATAGGCAGAGTTAGCCTGCAATACTACATTCTAACCATACCTTTCTGAACTTTGTGCTTTTTTTTCTTTTTTGAATTATGTGCAGCTCTAGAAGCTGCACAAAGGGCTTACTTTGGACTTACCAACATGACAACGATCTGAAAATAAGGCCAAGTTGATCCTTCAGTGTCTGAAAAAAATGATTCTAGCAGGGCCATCAGTCTCCTGACCTCAACATTACTGACGTGCTTGAGAGATGTAAATCATGCAGTTCATGCTAGACAATGAAAGACTATACCGGATCTCAAGGCTTTTTGCTAAGAATGGGCAGCTTTACCACATGAGAAAATAAAAGGCTTCCCTCATTCACCACTATCACAAAAGCCTACAAACCATCAGTATTACTTTTCTCTGTTCTATTTGAACAGAGAGAGACCAGGAAATAAACAGTGCAAGAAGCTATCTTGAGCTGTCAGGTTTTATTTTATCAAATTACAGCAAACTACAGTATTCTTCCTATATGCCTAAAGCTTTTGAGGTAGTTCTGCTTTATTTTGGACAGCCATTTTACGCTGTTGGTAAAGATCACAATACCCTGACATAAATCACATCCTGTATATTCTCCAAATCTGGATCTTTATATGACCAAAATAGACTCATCTATATCAAGAAATTCCCAAGGTTTACAGAATATAATTTCTAGCAGAAAAATATCAAGAGGAAGTTAACCAGTGGAACAATGCAGTTCTTTTACCCAACATCTTTGTGAGTTTAGAAAATGGAAGAGAGTTATAATGGTAAACATCAACTCCAATCTTCATGATTTGATTAATTATATGTCCCAATTAACAATGTCTAACCTTACATAAAGCTTTTATAGGAAAGTTGTTTTAAGTAACTTCATATTAAGTAATTTAAGAAAGGTTTGGTTTAGGAATATTAAAAACCTACGGTTTCAACAATCTTATAAAGGGGTTCTCTTCCTTCTGTTGAACTGGATCTGATTTCTAGAGATTACCTTGACAAATCCCTGCAGTTTTCTTGGCAAAGTTTTTCAGAAGTGATTAGCCATTGCCTCCTTCCTAGGGCTGAGAGAAAGTGACTAGCCCAAGTTTCCCAGTTGGCTTTGTGTCCAAGGCAGGACTACTACTCATGATCTCCCAATTTCTAATCTGATGTCTTAACCACTATACCAAACTGACTCTCACAAAGTACTTTATATTCTGCACTAAATAAACTGTAAATACTTTGCAATGTTAAGTTCTAATGCATGCAGTGTCGCATGGCTTTCCGTTCAATACTGGCTTGGGGAGGTATATGTTCAGTAGATACCAGACAGAGGCTACTTTCCAAGTACTGTATATATCCCCTTTGTAATTTATGATTATTGCTTCTGTACAAGAAATACTTCCTCCAACTTCCATTTACAATTGCTTCCTGTTTAATTGCTAACTTTCCCTGCATCAGCAGTACCAGCCACATCTGGACCCCATGAAATAGTGCAGTAATCATTACATCGATTTTTGGTTTACATACAAGAATGGACAAGTTAAAGACAGTGTCAGAATTTACTTTAGTTCTCAAATTTGAATAATCCTTATTTAGATTATTTCAGGCCTGATTAATTCCTTCAAACAATGGACACCATAATTACAAACAAAAGGATGGCTTTATTAATAATCACAAACAATGCATAGTTTTTGCAATGAAAAAGGGTTGGGAAGAAAAAGTCCCTTGCAAGTGTGTCCTAGTAATTGCCTTGGACAGAAGGCAAAAGTCACAGTGTAAAATGATAATTCAGTCTTTAATATAACAAAAATATCCTTGCAGCAACCGTTCAGAAATATTGAGTAATTTCAAGTATTCAAGGAGATTATTATTTTTTGGCTGTGTAAAATTTAATCTCCCCCATCTCCTCAACACAGGGTCCACTCATGCAGGTGACTTAAAAGCAACTATTTTTTATTATAGTTCAACAGTTCGAGTTCAACTTCCTCTTTTGGAAGCAAAACTTGCTCCTTGCTACTCAACAAGCCTGCCTAATTCCTAATGATGAGGATATCAAATAAACCCTAGAATAAGTTACTCAAAGTAAAACAACAACAACAACAACAAAAATGAAAAAAATATATGGTTTGTTCACTGTTTCCCAATACTGGCAAGGAAACTAGGGACAATGATTAAGTTCATCATGGATCGCATAGTCTCCTGCACTGAGAAGGGAAAATGCAAGTTTGAGGTCTTGGATTTCTGGCCCCCTTGAACATCAGCTTATATGCTTTGATGAAGTCTTGACGCACTCTACAAACTGTCTGAAGCAGTCACCAATTCAAACCACTGCCTAA